ATACTCCGTATCAGTTTCGTGAACATCGATAAGTGGCCTCCATTTGACTCCGCCTTCGCTCACACGACCAACATTAAAGTCTTTGAAGGCATCGCTAAAGAGACGATTCATTTGAGATTCAAAACGATCAGGAGTGAATATGAGAGACATTTTTGGATAATCGTTATTCTACTGTAATATATTTGATTTGCGCTTTTTGTATAATAAACCGTTCTCCTGGTCAAAGAGTTGGGGGTCTATATATACACATTCTACCACTACAACCACAATCACTCGCAAATCACGTCATCATAATAAGCTTATCCGTTTTTATACATGACGTGTACAAATCCAAACAAAACTTCACACGATATTCAACAATGATGCAATCCTAGCTTCTCCCACGCCTAAAAGTCCTGATTGGAAAATTTAAATGGTACGTGCTCTTTATTAGTGCGTTTTAACTTGATTACTTTTTTACAAGTAAATCATGCTGATGTCATATTCGAGTGGGCTGATATTAAATTTCCCCAAACAAAAAATCATGAGCCATTGAATAGCCAATCCGTTGAATGTGGTACCAGGCATCACATTAATTATTACATCACATCAGGCCATAAAGTCAGGCCACCGTTGATTGATCCGACATTGGCTAAATCATGAGACATTGAATAGCCAATCCGTTGAATGTGGTACAACATCAGGCCATAAGGCCATAAAGTCAGGCCATAAAGTCAGGCCATAAAGTCAGGCCACCGTTGATTGATCCGACATTGGCTAATATGTAATAGAATGAAACAGCGGTAATCAAGGTCAATGTGTACATTAAAGAGTTTGGATGTTAGCATAATAAGGTAAATAGGAATACACGAACAATGTATCATAAGTACATAAATGCACGATCTTAGCTCTCAACCAATGTGGGGTGCATTTAAAGAGACTGATTTGGTTTTGAATATAACACAGCCAACTATCAAGGCAGAAAAAGCTTGTTTTTCTAAGCAAATTATTTTAGCAGAACATCTATTGGATTCGTTCTGCTAATTGCGTAACCTGTAATAGCCAGCTCCACACTACAAG